GTTCAGCATGTCTTTCATCTTTGTTCATTGTGATATTTCATTTGTGAAACATCCATAAACCGCTTTCATACAGTAAGTTGTCAAATGAGCAGTAATGAGCCGTACTCAAAATCTGGTTACTAATTAATGTAAACAAAACAATCTTTTCAGATTAATATGTTTAAGCATAGATTTTAGTACAGTTTTACCATTACATAAATCTATATTTTCACTTTTTTAATCTGCATTAAATCTTTTATATCCATGTGTTGTTTCTGAAAAAGAAACTATTCAGTGGATAGAGAATGAAAACATAATAACTTTTACAATTCACCATTAATTATTACAAAAAGAAGTAATTTCCCCGTTTTGTTTAATGCAACACAATCACTTCACTTATGCTTTCTCGATTTCAGTCGTTTATCAACTGATGTTATTATGTAACATAACAACATCCAAAAATCTGTATCGCAGTCTTTTTTTGCAAATATTTGTTGTGATCCCCCCAAAATATGATCATAGCAACAATACTTTTTTTAACCTTGGAAATGTAAACTTTAGACTTAATGAGTGAAACGATTTCTGTTAGATAGGGATTCACTTGTAATAAATTTATTTTTATGTTTTAAAAATATAGAAGTCTAGAATATTGCATAAAGTACATGAGTTATAATTACATTTACATACTCTAAGCCTTTTATCTAGAGTATCGAATCATTAAAAATTACACATGTGTCATGATTCTTTTCATTAACGTTTTTCACTTAATACGAATAAGTAATAATAAGTAAGTACGAATAAGAAATATTCAGTAACTTTATTTCCATTCATTACCAACTTGTAAATCAGTATATTATATTATTATTGCTGGTTTAAACATATTACGGATAAATATCAAGTCATTGATAATGTAGGTTAATGTATATTAACTAATATTAGCTCAATCAATCAATTGAACAAGTTGAATCTATAATTTCAAAAACATTGTACAATACTTCATTATGTTTAAGTCATTTTACGGAATGAGTAAATAAATAATTTCTATTTCTTATAATTTCAACACTTTTCAGAAACAATAAATTTTGTAGAGTGTGTTTTTTTTTTAAGGTCAAATTGAAAGATCTTGTAATATTGGTAGTTGAACATTGTTGGAGAATTCAAATTCATCTTCAGTTTTTTATTTGACACTAATACAAGTTTGTTTTGTTTTTACTTACTAATTGAATTTCAAAATTCAAACTAAGTAAATTTTAGAAGACAAAACAATTAGCAAACTAATTAACTACTTTGTTGAAGAATGTAAATGAATAATTTAATCTAAAGTATACAACTCAAATAGTTTAACTAAGCTATTTTATTAGATGGAAAATAACTAATCTATGACAAAGTTAAAAGTCATACACCAACTAATGATTATTTCATATTATTCTATCATATCCGGCATTAACTGGAAATACTTATGATAAACAATACTTTGGTATGATAATTACCAGAAAAAGAATTGGCACTGAGTATTGTTTATTCATACAGTAGATAAATATTTTATTGTGACTGTAGTGAAGTATTAAATGTTGAACCACTTATTAAAATTGTTAATAACTAAATCTTAGTGACTAGAAGGTTTCGTGCTCGCCATAATACATGAAAGTTCAGGATTCTACTTTATGCATGAGGATTTGGATGTCATCTTTTGTGAAGTCAGGTACTAGAAGTATTTACTACTTCCAAATCATTTTATAATGAATAATTTTTACAGACAACCCAAAGTGTGGCTAGTTTTTTTGGTATCCAAACAAAACAGAAGTATATATCGGTTAGATAAATGCAATTTAACATCGACAGAGCATTTTGAAAACCGTTTTTTTTAATTGAACACTTCATCTAAAAAATTTTAATACACGCTCAAATATAGTATCAGTAAGGTTTTTCATTTACAGGCGATTCCTTTGTGATCACTATAATGACAACACCACCAAAATGATAAAATTATGCAAATCATTGAGATGACTAAACTGACCATTCGATCACTTAACCGATCCCTGAATCCTCATTGAATATAACTCAGGAGATATATCCACTACCTAAAGTGAAGTGGTCATTAAAAATCAAATAACGGAGCATACACTAACCCCAGTTCGCAGTAATTGTTTTAGAAACTTATTAAATATATTATTAAACAATAGGAGTATATGAAGAGCAATTAAAATGAAAATTAGTTTAAACGGTTATACTATTTATATTAAGTGTGTAGCTATTATATAACCAATCATGATAATAACTTATTTCTTTTGTTAAACTAACTTGTTTATAAACAATTAGAACCTCATATTCCTATGCATATTCGTTATTGCTACAACTATATTATTTAACAACTGAATCAGTGATGAAATTCATTGCTGTTTTTATATTTTGAAGTACACTTTTATACATTTTCAATCAAATTAACTATTCATGTATTTAATATCTTACATTTGGGACTAAATATGAGCAAAATCGAATTACTTGCTTTTTTATATTCCCAATAAAAAACAAATGAAAAGAATAGGTTATCATTTTACAATTTAAAAGTAGTTTGCATAGTAAATTGATTATAGACAAGTACTCATTGAAAATTAGAGATTACTGATTGACTGTTTCATCGTAGAACAAAACTCATCAGCAGTGGGGACTCATGACCTCATAAGGTCACATCGCAAGTGTCTTGTCTTCAGATCACCGAATTGAAATACAATGGTTATAATTTTAAACTCCACTTGTTTCATGACATTCTGTAGTCGTCATCCAATGCCAACGCTAATGCTTATCCATTCTAGACAATACTGAACCCAACTCCTATGAGTTCGTATTAAGATTTCAGCGATCTTCCCAAAGATTAGTAGCTTGTGAACACATGATTATTATTAAGAATGCACTTTTGTAAAGATTGTTTAATATTGCAGATAGTACACATCAGAAATATGTTACAAGGTATTGAATGTGTACGACAAGGGAGTCCTATACTAAGATGAAAAAGCTACCATGTGTTCTGTGGTGTGAACTGTTGTATAGTTAAAGTCAATCTTGAATGTGACATATCTTTAAACTAAACCAACCTCTTTTTCTAAATTGGAATGTTATGTATAATATGCAATATAAGGTTGGTATTATCACTGTTAATAAGAATTGTTGATTATTTATAAAAACAAATACCATGAAATATTAAATTATCTACTTAGATATCATGCTAAAATTCCAAAAAAAATTCTGTGAAACTTAAAGATGGATATTGGCTAGTAGTTAAATTCAGGACAATGAGAAAATACAAATAAAACAACACCAAGTGAATCTGTAAAAATTAGTTTTGTGAATTTTTCTCATATAAAAATTTCACATCAAATCAAATTTTCTAAACTTGTTAAATGGTATTGTAGAGAACAAGAACACGTGTGGGGGCTAATCGAATGTATTCGCGCGCAAAATTACAGAGTATCTCACTAAATCTGAGAATCATACAGTAAATATTTAATTTGCAAAATATCAATCAATGGTCTCAAACTTGACTGTTTCATCTGCAAATATCAGTCCATTGTCTCGGATTTTATTGTTCCTACATTTGCATACCAATTGTTTTCCGTCCCCGTTCTTTACTTCTCGATCTTTTATTGAAATACATTCTATTCCTGATTATCGTTATATACTACCTATGTGGATATATTTAGCTCATACCATAGTATCAAGTCAGTTTAAAAAGTGATTTTTTTCATTATCGATCAGTTTTAAACGATGACCTTCTTGGTCTTATGTAGTCATAATATACATGAAGGCTGATCAGTAAATAACCTAAATAATATTGACCTTAAATATTTCAGTAATACAATTTCATGAGGAAATTACTGGAAGACGTATATAGAAAAGAAGAACGGTAACTAGTAGTGGAGTCTAGGACGCCTATTACATAAGGCTGACGAGTCATAATTAGGACGAACCGCCAATCTATGATTACAGTAATAGAGATAATCCTTCTATTCAATATAATATTTCTTATTGTAGATACATCGAGGGAATCCACCCAGGATTTACATATGGCAACAAAGACTGATTATGTTTCAGTCCGAAATACCAACAATAGAATAGCTCAAACTCTTCCCAAAAAAAAATATGAATGGATTGTGTTCGTTAAGATGTACAATCGAAGTATATTGATTTTTAAATGTCTAGCGCGAATAAATGAAGTGGTTTCATAGACAAGAAAAATGAATAGATATTAATTCTATTAGTGTAAGGGATTTATCAAGATTGTTGGATTTTATGATATAAATCACAGACTAAACTTAGATAATCATTGAAAACCATGAAATATGAACAGCTTTTTCATCCCAGTATAAGACTCAATAATACTTGCTATCCATGAACACACCGCAGATCGAACTTAGAGCCTTCAATTTCTGCAATAAAACTTAATCGTAGATGGGAACTTCTGAGTTCCGCATTAAGAAAAAACAGCTGTCCAGTCCTTTTTGATTCGTAATAGTCGTCTAGCAAATATCATTGAGAGCTGTAAACTATATTATTTTACAAGGAAAGCTATCAGATTAAACTTGTCATATTTTCTATAATACTAAAACTAATCAATCAAATAGGGTAGTTTTTAGCTTCAACTAAATGACAATTAAAATACGGTGGCGCAATTTCGTGAATTGGTTGAAGTTAGACATTAACACCATTGGATACAGGCTTAGTGGTTTAATGGTTAGGCGCTCGCGCGTGAGACTGATAGATCCTAGGTCCGAGTTCTGCGGGGGGTGGGATCGTGGATGCGCGCTGCTGAGGAGTCTCATACTGGGATGAAACGGCTGTCCAGTGCTTCCAAGTTTTCCATAGTGGTCTAGCTTCAATTGACTCATGATGTCAACTAATGAAATTAAAATGGACTATGAAGGTTAGTTTTATTTAAAATGTATGCAAATCATGATTTAAGTTAATTAAAACAAATTTTTATAATAAGGATCTACGTTATTTTATAAAATATAAATTTCATTTAGTTGCTCAACGTTTAGCTAAAGAATATAATATACCTGTAATTAATGCTGGAGATTCAATACGTTGGATATTAAATGATCCAAGTCATATGCATACATCATTAGCTACTAGAATTAGAGAACAATTTAATCGAGGTGAATGTATTTCAGATGAACTAACGGCTCAAGCTATTCAAACATTATTAATGAATGGTATTTATTTCACACGTGGGTAAGTTAATTTTTAATGTAAATAAAAATTGCATCAAGAATAATACATTTTCTTACTAATATAAACTTAGAAACATTTTCATACACTAGTTTCAGTGTTTTTTTTAGGGAAAGGTGAATTATTCTATTGTAAATGGATCATTTTATACTTAAACTACATACTTGGACATTGAAAAAATAAGTTTATTAGTGATTACTTATAGACGAACACAAGAAATCCTTCAGTCAACACCTTCTACTCAATATAAAGGCTAATAAAACGAAGTTTCATCAACATATTTCTCATGACTTTCAGGACGTTTGATCAGCTTTAGAGAATAGCAATAATCAAAGTGAATTGAAAAGTAAATTCATACATTACTGAATCGAAAAATAAGGAATAAATAAATTTTGGAAAACTGTCAGTTTTATCAACTAGGTTTAAAGAATGTTTGATCGGATTTACATTAGCACAGTGTTAAACCAAAAATGGTAGTAGAGACTATCAATTAGGCCTATAGTTTATTCAGAATAACCAACATGATGCCTGAAGTCAAATGTAAAACATAATAAAAGGTTTATTTTCAAAATATTTCTTTAAGCAAACAGATATTTGATCATCAACACATTTATTGCATTCCTTAGTTGTGATAAAAAATTCTGTCTAAACATTTTAGGGTAGAAAATATTGTCTTTCTTAAATAGAAAAACTTTAAAGTTGTTAGACTGATGAACTACAATTTTTCTTCAATTAAGTGGCTGATGACATTACTTTGGAAAAAAGCTACTTCAACTCTCTCTTTCATCTTTTCTAAAATAAAATAAAATTGAAATGATTTACCTAATTATATAGTCCTGTGTTGTTTGTATTGTTCTTTTTAGTTTTAACTATATAAGATAATGGAATAGCGAGTAAATAAATCTTTTACAAGGAAATTGAGTTTAGATTATCGTAGACTCATACAATATTCTTCTTTTTATATTGTATACCTTTTAAAGTATTGAATTCATGTTAATAATTCCTATATTTTATATCTTGAAAACTATACGATAGATAAATTTAAGTTCATTCTTAAAGATCATTGCATACCAATGAAATTAAATAACTCATACAATTCAATTCTACTTGATTGCCTTATTAAAATTCACCATATATTTCTGTGATTTAATTAGGATAAGAGAATTTCTAAGTTACGTAACTATAAATGAACAATTTAATGCTATATAGAAATTTCGATTTCAAATAACAAATACACTTATGGAGAAATAAACCTAAGATTGTAGATTGACACATATATATGTAATGTATCTGAAAGTGATAATAACTAAAAATACGAATTACAATGTTAAGTTCTCTGACATAATCCAATACCTATTGACTAAACATTTAAATATTTTAAATGCTTTGTGATAAAAGTAATTTATTGTTTAGGTTTTCAGAACTATGTATATGATTACTTAGCAAATACTGTCTTAATTATCTACAAATCATATCTTTGAAATAGTTGTACAGTCGCACTAAGCGTTAGAACTGAGGCAACACTAATCGATTGGATCCCCATTAGCAGTCGGTTATGTGCTGTTAGATTAGAAAGTTCCATCAAAGTGAGAAGAAATCGGCGTGAGAAACGATGTCTTTTTATCATCATCGCCTATGCCCCGACAGATTGCAGCCCGGATGCAATCAAGGATGAGTTTTACCACCAGTTATCTGTTCTTCTCCAGAAAGTGCGTTCGACAGATATTGTAGTACTAGCCGGAGACTTGGATGCTCAGGTCGGGCGTCTAGGCACAGAAGAGAGTCATTTAGGTGGCCGATAGGGACTCGTTGGTCGCATGACAGATAACGGTGAGCGTCTACTACAACTGTGAACAGACCACAACCTGTTTCTGGCCAGCACTGACTTTCGGTACAGTCATTGCCAATGTGCCACCTGGCGTCCTGCCTCTGCATCTCAAGCCTGGACTCAGATTGATCACATCGCGATCAGCTATCGCTGGTATGGTTGTGTACAAGACTGCCTCTCCTTTTGGAGTACCTATCTGGACTCTGACCATGCCTTGGTCTGCGCCAATCTTACCTTACTTTTCAGTGGACAAAGAAGTGACCGCCACCAACGGATTGATGTTAGCAAGCTGGTTGCAACTTCTGTTGCAAGTAAGTATCAAACCGAGCTAGCTTCTAGGCTAGCTACCATTCCACCGAAAAGTATAGATGAGCATTGGTTGCAATTGCATGACGCCATGAAAATGGCGAGTAAAGTCGCTTACGGCTTCGCGAAACGTCTCGCTTATAAGCACTGGGTTTCTTCAGGTTCCTTACAACTCATCGAAGCCCGTCAGTCTACTTCGAGTGACCGTGAGTTTGACCACAAACGAAGGATGTTACGTAGTGAATTCGGGCAAAGCTTGAGTAAGGACCGAGAATCCTGGTGGTCGAGGCGTGCTAATGAGTTGGAAGCAGCAGCTGCATCTGGTAATTACCAGAAGCTCTTCCAACTCATCCGAGCCACTGGCAGCAAGAAGTCTGGTGTGATCGAAACAATCTGTGAGGATGATAGGATGCCAATCACTAACATCCATCGACGTCTTGGACGGTGGGCAGAATTTTTTAAAGGGCAGTTCAACTGGCCTGCTGCTCCGGCAGCATCGATCAGACTGTCCTGCCCCCCATGGCAGGTGACGACTGATCCACCGAATGAGGCGGAAGTCCTCAAGGAACTCCAACTCTTGGAGCGCTAGAAATCACCGGGCCCAGACGACTAACCTCCGGCTCTTTTTATAGATGGTGGTGACTTTCTGACTAAGGAATTGACGACGTTGTTTACAAAGGTTTGGGAACTAGAGAGTGTACCAACGTCATGGAATGAGTCGATGGTTGTCTCTATCTTTAAAAGGGTTCACGTCGTTCCTGCAACAACTATCGTGGGATAAGTCTACTTCCGATTGCGTCCAAGCTATTGGCTTCCGTCATACTTCGTAGGTTGTTCAAAACCCAAGAAAGATTGACTCGCGAGGAGCAGGCTGGTTTTCGTTCCGGTCGAGGATGTATTGATTATATCTTCACCCTGCGCCGAATGTTAGAACACCGCCATAATTTTCAAAGGCCAACAATCGTAGTGTTTCTTGACATCAGGGCTGCCTTTGATTCGTTGGACAGGACTGTCCTCTGAGATTGTCTATTGAAGAAGGGTGTCTGAGAAGTCCATCAACATCTTAAAGGCCCTACATACAAACACCTCAGGTAGAGTGAGGGCATACAAGCACCTCTCTCCATTGTTCCATTCGAGCAGTGGGGTTAGACAGGATTACCCAATCTCACCATTCCTCTTCAACTTTGCCATCGACGACATTCTGGAAACAGCTCTGATGGATGTAAGTAATGGTGGTGTGGATCTGTTGCCTGGAGAAAAACTTCTCGACCTTGAGTATGCGGAAGATATTGTCTTACTGTGCGATAATCCCCAAGACATGCAATTCGCGCTTAATCAGTTGGCAATCAATGTCCGTAGGTATGGTATGTGCTTTGCACCTTCGAAGTGCAAAGTACTTCTACACGACTGGCAGGATCGTAATCCTGTACTCACCCTGGGTGGTGAGCAGATAGAAGTAGTCGAGAAGTTCGTGCATCTGGGTAGCTGCATAAGTGCTGGTGGGGGTGTTAGTGATGAGATCAATGCACGTATAGTGAAAGCTGGAACGACTTATGCCAATCTGGGCCACCTTTGGCGCCTCCATGATGTTAGTCTGGCTGTAAACGGTCGGATCTACAACGCGTCGGTGAGAGCGGTTCTGCTCTATGCTTGTGAAACCTGGTCTTTCCGAGTTGAGGACGTTAGACGACTCTCTGTGTTCGATCATCGCTGTCTCCGAAGGATTGCTGACATCCGGTGGCAACACCATGTCAGTAATGCAGAGGTTCGGCATCGTGTGTTCGGGCACAGAGACAAAAATGCAATCGGTGTCACCATCTTGAAACACCGACTTCGGTTGCTTGGACATGTTCTACGAATGTCGTCCCAGAGAATTCCACGTCGTGCATTATTTGCCGACTCTGGGACTAGTTGGAAAAAGCGGAGAGGTGGTCAGTGTATGATATGGTGTCGTGGTATGAAAGAAAGCTGCAAAGGACTGGCTTGTGTTGGTCCTTCACGACTCCCTGGTTGGGGTCCGAGAGTTGGTGCTACACAGTGGCTAGAGACGTTATCAGATATGGCTCACAATAGAAGCCAGTGGCGATCCTGCTGTAACCTTTTACTTTCTTCATAAAAGTGGTTGTTTCATCCTTAACTGAAAGATTTCTTCTGATTGTACCTTTCTGTTCCCCCATTATTACTATTATTATTACTCCACTACCTTACACCAACCTCTTCGTTATTCTTCTCTTTATTTTCACGCTCCTTATTTTTCTTCTCTTCGAATTCTCATTGTTTTGTGTGGCGCATATATATTGGCGCTCTCTTGTACCAATATTTATGTGTTCAAATAAAATAAAATGTACAGTTTAATTGGGTGGAATAACTTTCATTGAGAGTAAATATAAACTATTTTATCTTTAAATACTGGTCAATAATGTAAGGTGGTAGTTGCAAGATCTAGGTTTCGGATTATTAAGAGACTTAATATACATGAAATTGATTACTTTTCAGTGATCAATCAATTGTAAACACATATCAGTCTTACAGATTATTTGGGGCCCAAATAATTAAATGGTGACTTTTCTGACTATAAAGCTGAATAATACCGAACCAAATTTGTCAGGGTGGCACCAGTTCCCTCAAGATTAGCAAGTGTCAAGTAACACAAAATCTAAGTTAATATCTTCCTATCAATTACCTCTAACCACCACTTTACATCTTAGCATAATGTACATGATGTCAAGTCAATTAGAATTCGATCATCACAAAGAATGACTTGCTAAACATGATATTAATCAATACTCAATGATCAATCAATTTGAAAAATTGACTAATCATTTCGTCCTTATCTGGAATAAAACTCCCTGAGTCAATCTAAATACACAATTTCAATCTTAGATAGTCATGAAAATGGTACAAAAATTCTCATTTGTCAACTATTCTGAGCATTTTTTTTTGTTTTTATTGTTTCACTACACATTTTTCTTCTATACAATTAATATTCATTATTACACTAGATATTAATCATATATAAATTATTGTATTCACTATTTGCAATTCAGATATATTTTAGAAAATTATCCATTAACTAAAGAACAAGGTGAATTATTATCGATTTTTGGTGTTCGACCAAATCTTGTTATTGAATTAGTTGTAAAAAATGAAAAACAAAAGTATGTTTTACTAATTGATTTACATTATTAATAAATATTAATTATAAACTAATTGATAGAATTAAAATATTGTTATAAACTTATGTAGTAAGATTTTATATATGAGAAATAATTTTATATTTTATTCTTGTATTTTGATTATCAGTCAGTCAACATCAACGTAGAACTTTGTACGTACATATATCAGTTCGAGTTACTAAAACCACATTAGCACAGAGATGTGGTTGTCGATTCGAATCCCATAGTGGTAGAGGTAGTAAAAGTATAAGCAGTAATCGGGAACATTAGGGTTTGAATATGTTATTCAAAGGGTTTATAATCCAGTGAAATAAATTTGGAAAGAGAATAAAAGGGACATGACGAATTTAGAAGATTATAGTTTGGGAGAACACAAAGAGTAGATGCACATGCGCCATTGCAAACGATTTTGAGCCATGTCATTCTAGGTCTCTAACCATCGGTTGCTATCGTCTCGCGGATCCCAATCAGTTAGTTTACACCTACCAACATGGCTCAGTCCACTGGTCAGTGACTTCATGAATTTGTGCCATGTTTTGCTCTGGCGGCCCCTAGCTTTCTTCCAACCTACCCCTACACCATAAAACATTGCACGTCGGGTCAGTTGGTGGTTGGGCATACGTAACACATGTCCCAGTCATCTCAACTGATGAAGTTTCACTACTTCATCAATTGATTTGCCATCCTTACCTAATACCCGTTTCCTAACAACTGTATTGCTTACTCGGTGGCCCCAGGATATAAGTAATGCATGAGGTATTATTTTTCTTATGATATAATGCGGTTTCTTATTAGTAATTATAAATCAATACCGGACATTATTCCGTTTACTAGAAAATATTTTATTCTTGCTATAAAATAGAAAACTTCATGTATTAAGATGATTATATCTGTGCTTAACTATCTATATATAGTTTCTAACACTAAGGAGTACGACATTGATTTCATTTATAATCTAGAGCATATCAGTTAAGTTTAAAATCATAATGAAAATCCTATTATTTTTTTCAAAAAGTAATGTAATAAAAATTCCTAACACTTTCATTTGAAAAGTTTTAAATGTTGGTCTAAATAGCAATAACTGACATTTAGCCGAGTTTTTAACAAAATCCGTACAAACGATTATTATATGAAGAGTTATGTTAGATATTTTAAGTTTCTTGATGAGGGTGATATTTCTCACTATAAATATCAGCCTAATAACCAACCAATAAAAACACAGACTAAAGTAAAAAGAAACGGTCTTATTACATTCCATATCATTTTATGGGTTTTAGTTATCCCAACGGCAATTTTTTTTAAAACACCACCCCTTTTAAAAAAAACTTTTCAACCCCAAAATTACAATATTTTACATCCCGTTTCGTCCAATAAAATGGCTGGTTTTAAAATTCGTTTTAATTGGTTAGTTATGTCTTGTCAAATTGTTATAAAACATCAGTACTTGTCAACGAAGTACATAGACGGCTACTGAACTGTTGTACATGGGAGTGTGCATCACAATCACGAGTGCAATTCCCTGAAGTACCAAGGTAATTCATGGGTGCGCAGGTTAACGGATGGGGAGTTTGAAACTGTGAGACCGCTGCTGATATCTGGTACCGCTGCATTCCACATAAAGAATTTTGCTTACCAAACTTTTGGGAAACGTTTGACAGCCTTCAATGTTATTCATAACTACTGATTATATCACCGTATTCATTTTCACACCCATATAACTATTAATTACTAGTACAATCACACCATACACTTATAAGTCCATAATTTTAATATTTTATAAAGGCCAAAAATAAGGCATGGCATTAATGAATTCGACAATGTAATGTGTTAACAATGGTGAACGTTTACATCTGTTACGATATACATATACTTACAAATTGTAATATTTGCAAATTAGAAAGGTCATTCAATAAAGGTCTGGATGATTTGCAGTGAACACTTTACTGCATAATAAATACAATAGCATTAGAGCTAAATTGAAAATGCAAAAAATTTTGCGTCAATTAAATGCAAAGTAGGAGAATGGAATTTTGTCAATGGAGATAATAATAATAAGATTGTTGTGTGAATATAATATGTTATAAGGAGGGTGTTATCAAAGTTATTACGATCAAGGAATTGGGAATGATGGATGTGAAGATTAAGATATAGATAATGAAAAATAATGATCATAAGGACAATAAATAATAATGACATTTTGAATGTTCATTGATGCAGTTGGTCTTATTCATATTTATACGTATAATGTCGATAGACAATTGTTGAGTCAGACGACGTAGGCTTGTTCATTTACACGTCATGAAACTAATATTTCAAATGCTTGACAAAAATGGTTACATTCATAATGTCTAGATAATTCAGGTTTCATATTACGGTTAACAATATTCACACTGATTAAACACACTAGTTTTTATTACGACCAGAAAATTAATTTTAAAATACAGAACTACAAATAAATCACAAGTGAAAACAATAAACCGTTTCAATGGACTTTTAAAATTAACAGCATTGAAATCTAACGTTTTCTAATTCTCATTAAGAAGAATGGCCATTTACAAAATAAACGTTCACTAAATATTAAGTGCGTATTTCGGAAAATTTATTACTACTTTCATATACTGTCAAAGTCGGTTCATTAAATGATGGTCTACGGTTGGTTCACCTGAATTACACATATTGCAACCATTAATTTATCATGATGAATTATTGATATGTTGATTTGTTTCTCCGATTAACAGACCATGTGTTACTAAAACACTTATGCACACACTTCGGTAATAATTTGTTTATTAATTGGGTATTCAGCATTAGACTACCAACCTAATTCATTAATCACTATTATTAAATATTTAAACCGGTTTTCAGTTCTTTTTTACCAAAACTTTCTTTTCATGTGATACATATCAGTATTCGTGGCAAGATAACTAACGACTTAAATTAAAGGTTGACATGAAACCACTTGATCGGAAAGCAAAAATTTTTCCTAGTACACATTCACTAACAGTATGATTGCACTTAAGTTGGTGTTTTTTTCTTAAAATGTTTAAATTTCTAACAAGACTTAAATTACACATTATCCTTAAATTTCAAATGTAAAAATCTAAATTCTGACATCCAATCACAGCACTTGATGCTATTTCGATTTCAAATAATCAGATTACAAAGATGAACAGTTTACGACCAATAACAAAATTATTAAAAGTGACAAAATGTTTGTTCATTATCACTTGAGCACACACTTGCAAAACAAGTACATCAATCACCGATCGCTAAATTTTTCTTTCACACCCTACAATTTTTTTAGAAATGGGTGCTAGGGAATCTTAATTGCCGTGGGCTTAATATCAACCCATTTTATGAGTATGTAATCATAACGTGTTTTCAGATATGATTTACGATCAACATGCTAAGTGATTATGATATTCATTTGTACCCCAAGACTATACTTCAACCAACAACAGTTATCGAAAATGATCCCACTATTAAATGGTTTTCAAAGATAACTCTGCCCTATATGACCATTCAAAAATTCATGTCATTAGTTAATAAATTTGATAATATCGACCAATGAAATATAGTCCTGAGGTACAAATAAAGATCATAATCACTTAGCATGTTGATCGTAAATCAATTTTATGAAATGGGGTGGAAAAAATTAAATAAAAAAAACACAAAATCACCGTGCGTTTATTGATATTCACTATTGTCGTTCTAATTTTAAATCAGTATTTTATAATGACATAATAATAGAGTATATAGGCTAAAACGAAACAACTAGTTGACAATGTTTGGTGTTCACTAAATTTGGTAATTAATATATGGTTGGTATGAAAAACGTTTATATATGTACTGAAAAGTACTGACCTCATAAACTATGAAGGGTACTAACTGATTAGCAAATGCCCTTAAAATAACCTCTTATTGCATACATTTCATGTAATAGATAGTAAAAACAATGTTTATTTTTCAACTAGATAAGTGATAAGTTCAAACAACATATTTCAAATCAAACACTTATAACATTACATATTTCTATATTTATGTAAAACTAAATTATTTGAATTTTGACAGTAATTTTCATGTCTAGTTAAAAACATTTGGAAAAGACTTGATAATTAAGATGTCTCGGATAGATATTTTATCCTCTTATGAGAATACATGAAGGGTGCATTCAATGGCTTGACACGAAATTGAAAACAAGATCTCCAGGTCTTGTGATAAACAAGATAACATTGGATAACTTATAAATAAAAATAGTATATTTATAATATCCCAATGAGTAGAAAATTAGATTTTCTGACGTTTCGTGACTTAGTGTAAGTCACTTCTACAGAGAATAAATAACCAAATTAAAATTAATCCAAGTTTAAATAGTACAACGGAACAACGCAAGAATAATTATATGTGAAAATTATATTTGAAATATTCTCAGCGATTGAAATTTAACTAATCCCAACATTTCGTCCAGCTAACTTGTCTGGACTTCTTCAGGGTAATAATCAAATCAAAATTATCAAAGAAATATATAGCTTTTAACAATCAGGATTATACTGTGTTACTTACTTACGCCTGTTACTCTCAATGGAGCATAGGCCGCCGACCAGCATTCTCCAACCCACTCTGTCCTGGGCCTCCTTTTCTAATTCCATCCAATTCTTGTTCATCTTTTTCATATCTATTTCCATTTCTCGGCGTAATGTGTTCTTGGTTCTTTGTCTTCTCTTTTCCTTGGCCTGAGAATTCCATGTGAGGGCTTGTCTTGTGACGCAGTTGGGTGCTCTCCTCAATGTGTGTCCTATCCACTTCAGTGCTTCTTCCTGATTTCTTCCTCCACTGGGATCTGGTTTGTTCTCTCCCACAGTACGTTGTTGCTAATATTTCCGGCCAACGGATCCGAATATTTTGCGTAGAAACTGTTAATAAACACCTGTATCTTCTGGATGATGGCTTTCGTAGTTCTCCAGGTGTTCCGCCCAATACAGTAGAACTGTCTTGACATTTGTATTGAAAATC